GTGCAAAAACATTTTGTCGAAAAACGTAATTTTTTTTTCGAATTGACTTGTTTCCATTGAGGAAATTTATTTTTGAAATTCTAATTTGCGTATTTTCATGGTGAATGGAAACACAGCTGGTGTTCAACTGAAATGTCAAACAGTAAATTTACGCTGAAATCACTGTGACCTTCTGATGGAGTGGATATGAGAGAGAAAATACCTGAGGAACACAAACTAAACCCCAAACTGCTCAAAACAACAACATCTGAGGAAACTATGACAGAGATTATTAGAAAGAAAAGTAAAAGTTTGGGACTGAAACCTTGCACAGAGCAGCAGAGTAAACACTCGTCCAGTGTCAGCCCTCCTGGAGGAGGTAAGGCAGCCCACAGCATCAGACAGTTCAGACAACAGCTCAGATCCCTGGTAGACGGTTCACTCAGTGATGCAGGAGAGGACAGCCGGTGGTTAAAGACCAGACAAAAGACAGACCCTGTGGTGCACCTGAAACAAACCAGGTCCTCTGAGGTCAGGTCTGCTGGCAGATCGGATCAAATAAGTGAATTAACTGCTCAGTGATTTGAAAAAGAGGCGGTTGGCTTCCATCAGAGAGCATGCTGTTGATCTCCAGCTCCAAGCTCAAACGAGACGGAGACACAAATTAATCCTTGTTCTTCCACTTGGTTTATGTGGACATATATGGGAGCGCAMGGAGACTCTGAGGGAAGAGGACTGGTCTTAAGACCAGACACAGCTGCACGCACTGCAGACCTGGGACATGAAACCATGACAACATTTTTTAACAAACTCCAGGACAGATTGTTTTATTTACATTTTTTTAATTTGGAGATCTTTCCAGCTTGAGCTTGTTTGTTTGTTGYAGTTGATTTTTGAAAATATTGTTTTGTTCTTATGAATGAATGAAACAAATAAATAAATAGCATCTCTTAATATACTGTGACAAGCCAAAATACCTATTTAAGATATCTCTAGTTATATTCTGACTTGTATAAATAACATCAGGTTTATCATCATGTTGGAAGGAGACTCCAGTTCAGGATATCTTAAATGTATCTTTAGAAARGAGATTCACTATATAAGATTTYATTAATWCAAACTGCAGACTTTCATGTTCTGTAAATGGTATTTAAAACAAAGCTGCTGCTGTTGATCATTGGTTTTATAAGCAGCCCTCCCAAGGCCTGTACTGGAAACACTGGAAAMGTCTAAWAAAGTTTCCTGAAGATGTTTTTGATAATAGAACTGACTGACAACCATGTTCATATTTTTGTAGTACAAAATAAAAGGTGAGTCGCATAAATTTATGTTTTCATAAAACAAGTAGTCCCCCCATCACCACGACCTATTTCCTGGGGAAACACTGGACTTMGTGCTGCATTCAGGCGCTAACAGAATTTACATGTTCTCAAATCGGGTGTAGTTGTTCCGACCTTTTTATGTTTGTAATTATAAGGTTTGTGAGTAACATACAGGGTTACTTAGTAAAATGATTTTAATAATTATTAGGATGACTGGTTGTTTTTCAGCACCAAGTATTTTAATTATTGTTCTAGTGAGAAAGTTGGTTTTTCTGACGCCACTTGAACGTTGCGCAGGTCTCAGGCAGGACGGGAAGCAGCTTGACCAAAAAGGATAAAAATAAATGAGCACACTTACTGCCACAGTGACAAACATGAACAAATATTATCAGTTCTGTTTGATATGATGTCAGACTGATAACTATCCTGCACCCCTACTTCCTCTACAACTTGAGAATTCACAGWCAGCAGTTCTCCTAAAACGTCAGTACTGTCCCAGACGTTTTACACAAAATGAAAACTTGTTGTGTTTTTTACATAAAGAGCATGCAGCTGATTTTTAGGCTCTAAACKATCTCCAGCTGAGGGTCCAAAAAACTGGTTCAAAATCATTTTGTTTTTCCACTCGTCCAACACTCACACCTGGGTTTCAAACCCACTTGTGCAACATTTATTTTCTTACCCTTGAGCAGCGGCAGTGGCGTGAGCTCGATGGGTTTGCCCTGAGAGCGGAACTGTGAGGAACTCTGCGACCGCTTCTGTTTCGCCTTCCTGACAGACTTCCGGGAAAATCCGTCCACTTTGTCCACGGATGGAGACGTGGTGGGTGCCGAGGACATGGCCCTTTGGAAAGACACAAGGAAGAGGAGAGTTAACAGACGTCCATGGTTAGATGGCAGAAGATCAGCAAACACCAACACTACTACAGAAATACCATTCATCTGACTTCATACATTTTTATATTTTAAATTTATATTTTACTAAAGAAGGAGAACATTTCCAGTTTGTTTAATGTCAAATAAATCAAAGTTGTTTCATTTGTTCTGTTTCATGCAGCACTGCTGCAGACACACACAGAGCTTCAGGCAGAAGGTGAAGGAAAAGAGGTTTGGAAAGAACAAAACNATGTGAACTTTACACAGAAAGGCCTCAGGCTGGAGAAGACCATCTTCCTGTGAGACAACAGCTTTAACTAGTCCCTGAGTTAAAGCTAACAGTGCATGTTGCACACGTTGTGAACGACTCTCCAACACATTTAATAAATTGACTGTTATGAAGCTTTTTTGTCTTTCATATGTTGACAATCTTTAGTAGATGAACATCCACTGAAAGTTTCATCAACATCCTTCTAGTGCGTCATGTGATATTTTGCTAACAGACATTTAGAGCTGACTGTAAAACCTTAAAGAGGCAGCATTATGTATTTTCCAGGCACATAGTTCAGTTCTGTGCTACAAACAGTAACTATTATACCTTGAGTTGTTGTGAAAATTCATTATATATCAAAAATGATTGTGGCTTTGCATCGTACACTGCAAAAACTGTCCATGTAACCAAGTTTTAAAATCTTACATCCAGCCAAAAAGTCTTTTTATCTTTTTTTGAGACTGATTTACTAAACAAGAACATAAAGTATAATACAGTTTTTATTGACTGGTTTGACCTGTTTGAAGGAACTGGGAACCTCTCAGTCTTCATCATCACCATCTCAGCAGAGCAGAAGACACCTCTTGCACTGTGTTAACCCATTCTCATWGGATTGACACAGTTTTCCACCCTTTTGCAAAACAGTTAATGCAGATGTCATTCAAGAAGTCCAAACTCCCTTTTAGCGTTCAGTATGAAACACAGAAAGCACCTGTTTGACACTTCTTCACAGATTTTTTTTTAATTTGCAGTCAATCATTCTGCACACCTGTGTTGTTCTTTTGTACCCTTATAGTAATGTTGTTTTTTTATTTATTTTTTCCTCATCTGTCCTTGTGTGGTTTTTAGTTTTTTTAGGATGGTTGCACCTCCTCATGATGTCTTCATGAAGATGATCCTTGTTCTGTGCAGGGTCAGTGGGAGTATGACCCAGAGTACCTGTTCTCTGTTTGTTATGTTCCGTCTTCTTATGAATGGTTGTTCTGAACTGTAATTTCATTGTGTTCTGTACAATGACAATAAAGGTCTAATCTAAAGGCCTGTTGCAGATTTTTGTTCTTTACTGTAAAAGACTGTGTTTTTATTGACCTAATTTCTCACACAGTAAAGGATTTTATTTTTATTTCCATGTATTCTCTGTTGGAATACAGTTTTTATTGATTGTTGTTGAGATGGTGATGATGAAGACTGAGAGGTTNAAATTAATAAAACAACACTTACAGTAATGTAATTTTAATATATGTCGATCCATTTGTTCCTCAAGTTTGTACTTTTTCTGATGGTGAAATAACACAAAACTGTATTTAAAAAACAAAGTGAAACACATTTAGGTACTAAAAGCAGATTTTGGTAGTACATCATTACATATATTTAATGTTAATCATTCTATTTGAAATGTTAAAGTTTGCCAAACCAAATCCTTGATTTGAATTGTTTTGTTGCCTTTCCTGGTTTTTTTCAAGTGCTAACCTTTTTAATCTTTGCCACTGGTGAACTTCAGTTAGACTTACTGCAAAGAAAATATGTTTTAACTTGTTTAATTAGAAAAAAAAGTGTTAAAAGATAGTAATTACTGAATTAATTACTGATTATCTATTCAGTCAGATGTCAAAGTGACCCTGCAGGACCCACTGTCTCTGATGCATCAGTGTATGAATGGGATGTAAAGCACAGATTAGTCTCCATAGATGATTTGTACATGTTAGCTTTGTAGAGACCTGATAGAGTGCTGAATAAATGTGTCTGTAAAAATGAATGTGTGTGTGAGTCGGTAAATGAGGGCGACGATTGTGTAAAGAGCTTTGAGTCATCTGGTTGAAACTTCATGTTGACAGGTTGACCTGAGAAAACCTTAAAACATCTTGTGCAAATGCTTTGTGTTTGATTTTTCTATTGAAATTGCAACAGCTTTTTGTTTCTTGTGCAACTTCAAACACAAAAAGACTTCTGAATAAATTTCCACAGAAATGAAGGAGCAGATTGTTAAAACTATTGTTGATTGATCCATAAAGACCTTCAGTTGATCTTGTGACTATAAACGGTCCATGTTTGTCTTTGTGCTGTTATGGAACCAAGCAAACCAGTTAGAGGATTGTTAAATCTGCTCTGTGAAAAACACATTTGTGTGTTATTGGATAACAGATTTTTAATCAGCACCACAGTATTTAACAAAAGATTGATTAAAATAAAACTATTTATTAAAAAAGGAACCAAATATGTTGGGCACATCAAAGGTTGAACGACTAATGTCATATTAATGATCAATTTCACTTAATGTTATTTCCTGCTGATAATACTTCTGAAAAAAATAATTGTGTTCATTACTAACAGGACACAAACGTTTATTTTTTATTTTGTGTGTGTGTGTGTGTGTGTGTGTGTGTGTGTGTGTGTGTGTGTGTGTGTGTGTGTGTGTGTGTGTGTGT